GGCCCTGTCAGCCACCCGGCGGGCAGGTGGGGGGGGGGGGGGGGGGGGGGGGGGGGGGGGGGGAGGCGGGTCCGGGCGCGGGGGGCGCCGGGGGGGGGCCGGGGGGTGGGCCCGGCGGGGGGCGCGGGGGGGGGGGGGGGGGGGCAGGGCGCGCGCGAGTGCCGGTGGGGTGCCGGGGCTGGGAGCCCACCTCGGCTGCTTGGATACGGCCGCATTGACATCTCCCTTCCGACACGCGTGGGTGTCTCCCCCCCCCCCCCCCCTTTGCTCGGACGATGTCACCGCCCCCGGCGGACTCCCGACTGGTCGGCCTGGCCGTGGCCCACGCGCCTGCACTTGCATCTGCCCGCGCGAAAAATGCACCCACCACTCGGACGCACAGTGGTACCCGGTGTTCGTGATGGACGGTCTGAAGCCCTCCGTCAAGGAAGTCACCGCGAAAGAACGCAAGGAGAACTCAAACCGGCGTCTGCAGGCGCGCCTTGCGGACTACCTGCAGAAGTGGCAGGACGGCGGCGAGGATGGGGGCTTCACGGCGGCCGACCACTTTAGGGGGCAAATTCACTCGGACCGATGCGTGCCCTTCTGCTGCTCGGGCGCACTGTGCCCCACGCGCCGGATGCCGAGGCACAATGCGGACTGCTCCAGCACCGGGGGGTGCGATGAGCTGTGCGGCATTCGACAGGCGCTGGCGCGTCCGACAGACTCCCCGGCACTTTACTACCCCCGGCCCGGGCCCCTGAGTCAATGCGTGGACTTCATCAATGTATGGGCCCTGGCGCAGGTGCATCTGGCGGCCTTGGCCCGGGAGCAGCCTCAGCGGCTGGCTTACATTGGGTCGCTTTCGGAGGCGGACGAGGTGCTGTCCCTGCTCAGCCTTCACTTTAAGGTCCCGGTTCTCAGGTGCGCCGACGTGCTTCTCCCTCGGTGGTTGTGTCGCGGGCATGCTCTGCCCGGCTGGCCTTTGGCGCAGTGTGCCCTCCTGCTGACAGAGCCCCAGCCCGGACTTGGACTTCGCCGTATCCGGGTATGGGCAGATGAATGTCTTTTACCTGTTCCAGCAGCAATTCCAGCTGAAGGAGGCCCATGGGAAGGCGACATTCGAAAGGGATCCCGACGACCCGACGGGCTGGTCCAACAAGACACTCCTCCGGACCAGGCTCAAGAACCACCTCGAGGTGAAGTGTGCGTCCATGAGCATGTGCTGGGGGGTTGATTTCCCGCCGCCGCCGCCCCCTTCCATTGGTAGACTGCAGGCGCCTGCGTGGAGGCGCGGCACCTTGGCGCACGTGCTCCTGCATGGGCCGGGGGCCCTTTCGAGGTTGGCGCCCTCGTTGGTGGTGGCCGCAGACGCAGGACGCCGCGCTGGGCCTTCTCTCATGCCCTGGTGCGGCTTCGCTAACCCCCCCCGCCCCTCCCCGCCCCCTCCCCCCCACTCTTTGGCCCTGGCTCGGCCATTGCTCCCGTCTGTGGCCGGCTGGATGGCCCCGGGCAAACATGGGCAGATCCCAATCAGCTGGCCTGGCTGCCGTTGATTTTGGGCTGCGACTTCGGTCCGCCGGATGGCCGGGTGTGGGACCTGGTGAAGGGGCTCTTCTTGGAGGATGACCACCAGGTGCGGTTGCACTTCGAGCAGGCGGCCCGCTGCTTTCCCGCGCTGTTTGATCCCTGGACCGAGGAGGGCAAGGACTTCGACACCAATTGGCGGGAGAGGATGCGGCCGTACCGCCTGTCGATTGAAAATCTGCGCTTCATTTTGAAGCATCTGCCGAACCCGACGCACCTGATGGGCTTCATGCACAAGCCCGTCCAGTCGGGTGGCAAGCTGGATCCGAGCGTGTTCCAGGTGTTGATGCGCAACCGGAGCCACATGGACAGGCTCTCGAATCGGCTGCATCAGTGCAATGGCCCCGGGGTGCTGATGCTCCTTCGGGACTCGATGCACTCGCGGCTGGGCCCGGATGTGCCCTTCAGTGCCAACCGAAATGGCATCCTCCTGTGCCTGGGGCTCTACAATGTGGGGGTCCACCAGATGGGCACCTATGCGCAGAAGAATTATCTGAACGCCCTGGAGGAGTATCTGCGGAAGTGCCCGGTGGATGGGGATGCCCCGTGGTGCATCATGTCCGACGAGGCGCCGCCACCTGTCACTCGGCATTGGGCCACCAAGCCGAGGGACCACGGCACACGGTCGAAGACGGGGTCTGGTCGGCTCCCGGACCAGGGCCAGGCCCTGCCCCAGGGCCAGCATCCACCGAAAGCATGCCACATGCGGTGGCGAGCCAATGCCGTGGCACGCCCGGAGGAGGGGCCGGATTCGGCGGCCGGCCCGGGGCCCGCGCCATCGGCTCGCTGCCAGTGCATCCATGCGCCGTACCTGGTGCAGCCACTGCTCCAGGGGTTTCCCCATTTGCGGCTCTTTGTGCAGGCCTTTTACATGGCCTTCCCCCGGGAGACCCCCAAGCAGAGCCCGGCCATGCTGCCCATCTTCAGGAGGAGCCTCAATTCGCTGGGGGGCAAGCAGGAAACCAGCATGCCGCCCCTGCCGCAGTATGACATCCTGAAGGGCGGCGGCACGGTCTGGGACTGGACTCGCCAGGCGCGCCTGCTTCTTTACTTCCTGCTGTCACGCGGCCCGGAGGGGGTGTACAATGGGAGCAAGCTTTGCCGGATGGACGAGCATCAATGGCCCGCGGCCTCCGTGGCAAAGGCATGCCAGGGCAATGCTCACGAAGTGGAAACCAAGAGCTACCACCTGGGCAAGCACCTGGAGGGGGAGCTGGATGCTGTCCTGCAGATGGTGGACTCGATCCTGAAGACCGAGCGGGCCGGCGGGCTGGACCGGCTGCTGCTTGCGGGGGTTCTCCTGTCCACCAAGTGGGCCCGGGACGTGTCCGCGAATTTTGACAAGAGGCTGCTGTGTGAAATGATCGATCTCTGCTCCTCGGACCATCGAGCCCGGTCGCGCATCGTGCAGAATCTGGAATTGCCGGGACCTGTCCGGAGGCATGCCCTGGCCATCTTGGGCGAATCTCCCTGCCTGGCCTCGTGCAAACTCCAGGAGGCCGCTGGCAATGTGATTTTGCATTGTCTCGGGGTCATGGTTCACAGGGCTCTGGGGGATGTCGAGCATGCCCGGGCCGAGGGGGGCCTCCCTTCGCCGACGCAGCTGACCGCCTTTTCCCTGAAGCTGGCAGCCCTGTGCTCTTGGCTGGACCTGTATTCGGTGCTTTCTGGGCGCCAGCTGTCGCTCCTCATGCAGGCATGCGCCTCGAGTGCGGGGCGGCATGCATTCCCCCATAGCCAATCGCCGCCGCGGCGCGAGGGCCAACTGCCTCTGACCCAGTCGGAGGTGGCGAATGCCCTGTTGGATGTGCTGCGCCAGACCTCGCTGTAATTGGGGCAAGAAGAGGGGCGGGGAGGGCGTGCGTGATTGGCCGCCTGCCTGGGGGCTGCCTCTTTGCTAGCCGCCCCTTTTCGTCTTCCTTTGGCCTGCCCCCCCCCCCTCCCCATTCCGACTGGGCCCGTCCTGAGAGGGGGCGTGTTTGCCCCGGGGCTGGTCGCTTTTTTCCCTACCCTCCTCCGCCCTTTGTCGTAGGCTCCCGGTCTTCTTTTCTCCCCTCCCGCTGCATGTGCCTTTCCTCGAACAATACTATGTTTGTTGGGTTTTCCCTTTTGCCTCCCGGGGAGTTTATGGTGTGGCGCGCCGTTTGCGCGTGGTGCTCGGTCGACGGAAGGTCCCCGGGGTGTGGCATGGGGCGAGCCACATCATGTCTTCTTCTTCTTTTTTTTTCTTTTTTTGCGCGCGCGGCCAGTCCGTGTGCACATGTACCAGGAGGGTGGCGGGTGCTTTCGCGCAAGGCCGAGAGCACAAAGGGGGCTGTGGTACCCCCAGGAGGGGGCAACAGCAGCATGTCGGGGGGACGGGGGGACGGAGGGCGGGGGCTGGCGTGCCTCCAGTAAGCGGGGCGCACGCCAGGCATCCGGGAGGCAACTGCGCGCGTGCACGCCGGCACTGCCATGCGGTCGCGGTCCCCGGAGAGGGCTCGAGCACCGGGCAGGAACAGTGCTCGGCACGTTGCTGCCCTCAGCAGGCGGGGAGGGGGGCTGCTGGGGAAGGCAAGCTGGGCTCCCTTGCTTCGGTGGTGGGAGGGGAGGACACAGCCGAGCTGGCTTGCCGGGGGGAAGGCCTCGTGGCGAGAGGGTCCGCACGTGCACGGCTTGGCCCTCGGAGCGAGAGGGACCGGGGCGGAGAGCAGGAACTTCCGGGAGGGTCCCGGGCGGGCGATGACCGCCGCACGCACACGCCCCTCGGACCGCATGTGGGGGTGTCCTGCTGGGGCGGGGCGCGCCGCCGCGTCAATCAAGCCCCCTTTCTTGCCCCTTCCATGCTCCCCTCCTTGGGATCGCTCCCCTATATGCTGAAGCACGCAAACCCCCACAACCCCCGGGACATGATGGACCCATATGGTCGGACCCCAGGGCGCTGGTGACAATCAGTCAAGAAGGCCCTGCCCCGGGTGGGCCGGCCCGCGCAGCCGGGGTCTTGGCCGCCTGTTCACTCGTGCCGCACGTGCTGAGGGAACCCACAACCGCCGGGAGGTGCTTCTCCCGGGACACTCGGGAAAGGGAGACCCCCCCCCCGCCTTGCGTGGGCCGGCCCGGAGCGCCTGGCTCGGGGCCGGTGGCCGTGACCGCGCCCGCCGGGGCCCATGCAGGTGGTGGTCCTGGGGCTCTCGGGTCCGGGCGGTGTGCTTGCGGCGTGAAGCACACATGCCCCATCGTTCCGGGCTTGGGAGTGGCCCTTGCGGGCGCCGGCGTCGGGGTGTCCCTCTGCCCGGTAGGGGGCCGGCGCAGGGTGCACACCGGCGGCCTCGCCATCGTCCTCCTCCCCTTGGGTGTGACCGTGGCGCGAGGCCCTTGCACGGGCGGCAGCTGCCGGGGACGCTGGCGTGGTGGCCAGGCTGGGCGCTGTTGCGCTGGTGTCGGCCGCAGCCGGGCGGGCTTCGAGGCGTGCGTGCCCCCCCCCCCCCCCCCCCGGGCATGTCGGCGACCGGAGCCGCGTCCCTTCCCGGCGCCGGGCCTCATCCGCGTGGCGCGTGGCATCGGGCGAGGCGCGCGACCGGCCGCGGCCGGCACCGGCGGACCGCCCCTTTCTGTTGTGGAGTCGGGCCCCTGCGGCCGGCCCGGGCGCGTATGCTCCACGGAGCGCCGGGCCCGCGAGTGCGAGGAAGCGAGCGGCTCGCTCTGACCCGGGCGCGGCTGGCTCGGCGCGGCTGGCCGACCGGAAGCGCCCTTCGCCCTGGCTCGGCGGTTGTCGGCCATATGCGAGGATGGCCGGCATCTGGCCCCGGGCAGTGTCATGCGTGTCTGTGTGGGTGTGCCCGGATGCGACCGGTGCTTTTGAACAATTGAATGCCACTCGGCCGGCGAGGCGGACCGCAAGGCGCATGATGTGTGGGGGTGCGGGGGTGGGGGGGGGTCCATGTGCGAGTGCTTGTCGGCGCGCCCCCGGCCGGGTGCCGAACGTGGTGAGTGCCGACGTGGATCATGGTACCAGAGGCACTTTGCGACCACCCTAGCCCGTGTCATTCCTGCCCCTGTGGACATTCCCCCCCCGCCCCCCTTACTCTGGAGTTATAGTGCTGGTGCTTGCTCCTTACCGCGCAGACACGCCTGAGCGGGCCCCGGTTGGCCTTGGCCCGCCCCCGCGCCTCCCCCCCCCGCCCCCCCTGACCGGGGCCAGGCGTTGGGGGCCCTTCGCAGGGGGCTGTCGGTTATGCCCTGCCTCTGTGCATGTGGCGGTGCCCACTTACTTCGCTCGGTCGGCGGTCCTCCTGCGAGCTTGCGTGGACTTGTGTTCCGTCGGTTTTCTGGCGTCCATGGGCCGGACACGGCCACTCCTGGCTTGGGGCGTGTGGAGGCGAGCTGCGCTCCGGTTTGTGGATGGGCGTGTGCGCCAGCCCCCGCGACATGGGTTTCCTTTTGCCGCCCGCCGCTAGTCCAAGCGCGTGCGTGCGTGTGACGGCCGAGCCCGATGCCAGCCTGCGATTGGCATGTCCTCGGCGCGGTGGGCCGCCGGGACCGGTTGCTCGGCCCGAGCGACATGCCGCTGACTTTGGCGCGCCCCCGGCCCATGTCCGGGAGGGGGGCCTCCGGGCAGCTGTGCGTGTGTGTGGCCGCACCATGGGTGCCTGCGTGCATTTTGGCATCCGCCCGGCGGGTGGACGGAGGAGGAGGTCGCACCATGTGCGGGTGCGTCGCGTGAGACGGCTGCGGCCGGAGGGAGGGGCGGAATGGCGCTATGCGTGTCGTCCGCGATCCAAGGCGCATCCCCGACGTCCAAGGTGCCGTTGGCGCGTGGCTGTGCGCTGGCGAGCGTCCCATGCCTGGTGTCGGGGGTCTTGCCGGCTGTGGCTCTCCCCTTTGCCCTCTGGCCGCTGGTCGGCATCTCGCTCGGTGGTGGCATGCGCGCAGGCCCACTCCCGCCCCCCACCCTGGTATGGGTGCAGCTGTGGGCCTTCCCCTCGCGCACATACATGGGTCGATGGTGGCGAGGGGGTCCGTTTAGGGGGGATGGGGCTATGGTGCGCGGCACATGTGCGAGTTCCCGGCGCCGGGTGAATTGGGCAAGCAGGCGGCGAGGCATCGGCTCTGTGCCGGCCATGTCCATCCGCCCGGCCAGGGCACAAGGTCCCGCGCGATGTGGTGGACTCGCTGGCGGCGAGAAGGGAACTTGTAGACGCACGCCATCGTGTCCATGGCCGATGCTGCGTGCGGCGACCGTCTGGAGGGCGGACAAATAGAGAAGCCCCATGATCGGGCACACTTGGCACACACGCACTGTGCGGGGGCAAGCAGGGCTCCTGCCGGAATTGCCAAAGACAGAGGGGGCGCTTCTCGGCGCCCGGGAGAGGCTGCTCCGCGCTGGGGGAGGGCGAGAAAAAGGTTATGGGTTCTGGTGGCCGTGAGCCGGCGGAGGGTGAATTGTCCTGCGGCGAAGGCCGATGCGGCGCCTTCGCTTGTCGGAGGGGCCGACAGTCGGCCGCGCGGGGCCAGGCGAGCGGGGGGCGGCACTCACGGCCAGCATCCGCCATGCCGCGCCGCACTGCCGGGCCCACGAGGTGCGTGGTGCGCGCCGCTGACCGGGGGAGCAGCAGGAGGCCAGTGCAGGAGCTGGGGGCGAGCGAGAGAGCGGCGGCGAAGAAGACAGGCTGCATGCACGAGAGCATGCGGTTGTCCCGGCGCAAAGGGTGGAGGGGGGGGGGCCATTCGCCATCTCAGACAGCCGGCCATGGTGGAGGCCGAAGGAGGGCCGCCTTTCTGCGACGAGGGGGCGCGGGGAAGGGCGGCGCCGGGTTGGCGGGGGGGCGCACAGCACCATGCCTCCCGTCTTGGTGAATTGCAAGGCGGGATGATTTGAGTTAAGCGGCGGATGTAACCCATCATGCGTGGGCCCTAAGCAAATCATGTCTTTCTTCAAAGGAAAAATGTGAAACTATATCATCTGATAATGCGAGGCAGACAGCCAACGGACGGGCTGCTGGATGGGAGGCCTTCCTTGGGTTTGTGTTTGCGGTGTCCTGTGGAGTGGCGTGCGACCTTCTCTCGAATGTCCCCCTCGCTGGGGCCGGGGCCCCCTCCGGGCTGCTCTTTGGAGGGGCTGTGTGTGGGGATCTATTTGTGGGCGTGGGGGCGCATGCGCGGGGGGCCGCTTTTGGGGCACATGGCAACCTCTGTTTCCCCCCTCCCCCTTCCTCTCTCTCTCTCTCTCTCTCTCTCTCTCTGTCTGTGTTCACGCGCCTTTCTCCTCTTCTCGCCTTCTCCCTCGACCCGTCTCATCAGATGTTGGCTTCAGGGACGGCCGTGCGAGCCCTGCGTGCATGGGGCTCGCCGGCATTGATGGCGGCGGTGGCGGCCCGGCGGGGCTGGTCTCTGGCCGGGGGCCATACACCGGCCGCTCGGGGCCAGGTTCCCCCCCTGGCCACCAACGGGGGCATACATGCGACAGCGTGCCCGGCCATCATCATGGCTCCCGGGGGCATGTCGCTGGTCCATATGCGGGCATTCTCCTCGGCCGCCGAAAGCACGAGCACCAAAGTGGCCACGTCCGCCGGGTGTGCGAATTACGACGCCGAGTGCGCCGGGGCGCGGCTCTGCCGGGCCATCGAGGCCGGGGAGGAGCCCCTGCCGCGGGGGTTCGACGATGTGGCGCACTTCCGGCTGTTCCTGCGGCTTGCCGGGGACCCCCGGGCAAGTCGGCCCCTGGCGACGTTGGGCCCGATGGGCCAGTTGCTGGGGATGGACCGGGCATCGGTGCAGAGTCTGCTGGGGCATTATGGCTGGGAGTTTGGCATTGCGCCGGCCCGGCGATCGATGAAAGTTCCCCTGGCCGGGGTGGGCCCGGGGCATGTGGTCTTCGAGGATCTGATGGACCTGGTCCGGCGGGATCCGCCGGTGCTGGCGCCGGTGCTGCCGCGACTGGTGCGCCTGCCGCCGAAGCAGGTGGAAGAACTGCTGGAGGAGCATGTGCCGGAGATCTTGGCCACGCCAGTGTGGGAACGGCGCATCTGCCTCGGCCGGCTGGGGCACTTGCTGACCGTGGATCCCCCCCTGTCGAGGGGGGCAATGGCCTTGCTCCTTTCGGGCGATATATCCTCCTTGTCTAGGGTC